TTTGACATCATCATGTACAAATTTAGATAATTCTTCACGTTCATCTTACATCAAATTTATAGAATCTTTTCAAAATCATCTTGAAAATGAAAAACTGTTTTCCAACAGAGAAGAATTACTCTCAATATGTAGAAATCTTGAAGAAATATTAGAAAATGTCACAAATGAAAATAGTCAAGTTTTAGATGGACTAGCTCAGAAAAGTTTAGATGTAACTTTAGATTTTATTGAAAACTTTGCAAAAACAGAAAAATTTCTAGAAGAATTTCATCAAATTTTTAAATGTCTTTTGCCGTATTGTTATGAACTACTTAATATTCCAGACCTTAATAAGAAATTAAAAGATAATATTTATAAATATATTTCATATCAAAAACAAAGTTTCGCTGATATTAAAGATTGTATTGAGGGTTTGTTTAAAAATATCAAGAAAGATGAATCTATTAAAATAAATTTCGTTATTGATAATGCTAAGGAAAGGATAACATATATATTTAAATCGTTTATTAAATATATTGAAAAGAAGAATGAACGAGCTGTTCATTATATCGGAGTTTATCTACGAGAAACTATGATGAATCAAATTGATAATTATATGCAAAGTTTAACAACATTTCGACATACAACCTTAGTTTCTATGGAACATTTTGAAAAAGAATTACATCAATTTTTACTTAATTCTATTCGAGAAAGTATTAAAAATGAAAAGGCTAATAATCAATTAGCAAGTAAAGCTAAAGAAAATTTAAATTCCAACAAGAATAATTATGATGAGAAAATTTCTATGTATAAAAATGTTATGGAAACTTTTGAGAATTCGGTACCATTAGAAGTAATTAAGTCTGTTAAATTACAACTTGAAAATACTAAGCATGGTCACTTCGTATATTTACAGAATAAGATTGATGATTTAACTAAAATGTTAAATCGATTTTCTAACGTTGAAAAAAATTTACCTAAATTTAGTGAATTATTTAAAAAATGTTTAAATGATAAATATGATCATTTATCTGAAGAAGAAGTTTTTTCTTCTAATGGTAAAATTAAAAATGAAATTTTTAATTATCTTAAACAAGATATAAATTTTAATGATATTTAAAAAGTTATTCAAAATTTTAA